TTTCACGTCCATTTGACTTGGCTCAAGTGATTTTTTTTTTTTGTCCGCTGTCCTTTCCTGATGGATCACCTTCTTGAAGCTGCTAGGCATGAATTGTTCGCCCTTTCTAGGACTTCATTACCAGATGCTGCGCCGGGATCAGCGCCCTGGCAGGCCCTGGCAGGCCCTGGCCCTCCGCAGAGATATACATGCACTCAGGAAGGATGCCCCGCCACATGGTCTGTCTGAATTAAGCAAAGACTTAAACACTTACAAGACCTTTGACAAGGTTCTGCAACAAACATTGACATTGCTAGATAAACAGGCGGCCGCATGTGCAAATGCTTTACCTTTCAATGCAATTTATGGACCTTGGGAAGGAGGGATAGATTCTCGCCTTCCCCCAAAGAACACCGTGCCTACTACTATGCCTGCTTTCAACCTGAAAATTGTGTCTTGGAATATTCGGGGTGCTCTAAGCACATCAAGCCGGCAAGAAAGCCACGGGGGGCCGCATGTTGCAGCTTGTGAGCACATTGCATTCTCTACAGGTCTCGCTGGCGGTTATCAGTGACCCTTGTTTTGGCCCTGGTATGCGATGGCCGCGTTGGACTGGCTACGATTTTTTTGGTCAGCGTACCACAAAAAATAACACTGTGGCCATTCTTGTTGCCATAGAAATTCTCCACTATGTTGAAGTCATCCCTGATGTCGGGGATCCAAGGGCCTTGTGGGTGAAAGTTCATACTTCTGAGTCTGACGGGCCAGAGTTTCTTTTGCTGGCTATGTATGCCCCGCCTTCAAATTATATGCCTAAGGAGCGGTTGGATTTCTTTGCAAGTCGGGTTACAGAACTTTGCAGTCTCCGTTCATTACCTAAGTTTGCTTCCCTTCCTTTATTGTTGGCTGGTGATTTGAATATCCACATGCATGAAATCTGTGAAAAAAATGCGGAACTTGAACGGCCGGTCGATCGAGACATTGCTGTGCTTTTACGTAGTAGTACAGGCCTTAACCTGGCCCTCAGGAACCCAGCTGATGTTGCTACGCATGATTCCGGGACTGCCATCGATTTGGTTTTTTCCTCTCCAGATTTCCAACCTCAGGTTCAGGTTCTGTCGAGGGAACTTTGTTCTTTAACCTCTGATCATCGACCACTGCTGATCACTCATGTAGGGTCAGTTTCTTGCCAACAGAAACATCAGATTGGTAGAGCAAAGTGGAAGCCTTATAGTGATGAGTGGGGCGATGCCCTAGTTTCCATCCCGTGCTGTCTCAGTTTCATTTGCCGCTGGGTTGGGCTGTTGCTTGGTGACACTTTTCTTCGTGATTCTCTGGTCATAGGTAAATGGCAGAAACTCAGGCAAGCTGTCGTGGATAAGGCCGTGTGGTGGAGGTCAGTGGTACTTTGCCTTGCGGGTCATCTCCGCGGGCTGGCAGTCACAGTGAAACCGTCACCGTCCGGGGTGAACATGTCAGAGCTTTCGTTGGATAAGTTTCTCCTTGAGTGGTATGGGCCCCAGTGTCACGGTGACACCATCGAATTTGAAGAGTTTTTATCCAACCTCGGGAAGGCTGGCTGCTCCACTGTAGTGCGTCGTTTCTTAGATTGCCACGCTTCGGATCCCGGCAGAGCTCAAGCCATTTTGAGCATGATGATCAACCCAAAGTTCGCAACAGAAATTTGCCTTGTTGATGGTTCTTCCGGCGATAGAGCGTCAGATAGTACAATTGTGCATTTACTTACGCAAGATGTCTTGGAGCGACCGCAACAGGCGCATCCTGGGGATGAGGTTTTCACTGAGGCTGTCAATGCAACATTACAAGATGAACGAGCAAAGGCGCACACTGAAGCAGCGCAAGAACCGCACATGTTTTTTGAATTAGAAGAGGTGACGCGTTGGATCCAAAATATTTCCATCCATAAAGCTTCCCTCAGGTTCCCAAGAGCTGCTATTCATAATGATCAACCTTTGGGGCGTCGTCTTTGCTGGCTCCTCTTGAATCTATTTTTGGCTTTGGGTGTTGTGCCAAGCGCTTGGATGCGTGAGATCAGTTTTATCCGAAAACGAGGCCCTCAGATTGTGACTGATTTCAAAAACCTGAGACCAATTAGTTACACTGATGAGCTGCAGACTTTGTTTGATCTAGCGTGGTTGCAGAAGTGCCGTTCTATTTTGGAAGCCTATGTCGGCTGTGAGCAATCCGGAGGGCGATATGACAGTGTGCTTATTTTTTTAGGCATTCTCATTGCTTTGCAAACCCGCCGCAACTTGTCACTTCCTACCTTTTGCCTCAAGGCAGATTTGCTTCAGGGTTATGATTTAGCTTGGAAATCAGCAATCTTGTTGCACACAAGATGGGCAGGTATTAAGGGATCCCTGTGGTTGTGCTTGGATTCATCCTTGCAACAAGACACTTTCCGTGCCCGCTACGGGCCACTTGTGGGGCCTGCCGCACTGGTGCTGGCAGCCGGACTTGGTCAAGGTGGGCGAAGGGCTGTGCACCTTTTTGGAGCAATGGCGCGGGGGATCCCAGACCAACTCAGGCAACGTATCATTGGCATTGCTATTGGATCGCCCTGGCGCCTCCTCAACAAGCTACAAGTTGGCAGCCGCTCCTCTGGTAATGTGCAACCTGATTTAGTAGCCACCTTGGTGTCCTTGTGTAGATTGGGCCCGGACTACGGTGAACTTCCAAGGTCTATCCTAAACAACGTCACTGTTGATACTGCTCTGCTGACGCTGGATGTGTTGGCCACTAACACGCTGTTGATTTCCCAGTTTGTCGATGATATTTTCATTTTTCAGTCAACTATGTGGGGGATACATCGCGCTTGCCGTGCCTTGGAAGAATTCCTGCGCCTTTGGAAACATCGGTTTGCAACTGGGCCCCGAAAAGTTGCCTTAATGTTGGTTTCTGGGCAGCAATTGAATCCTGGCGCCTTACCTTCTTTGGATAATACATTAATTGAAGGCGCTTCCTCTATGACTGTCCTCGGCCCTTGTTTTGATAGAAATTTAAGTTTCATTCCACTCTTGGAGACTATCGCCGCAAGATTGGTGCGAGAGACTGCTCTGCTTTGTGTGACTTTGCGTGACCTGGGTGTCGGATTGCCGCACCACATTAAACAAGTGGCGTTGCGGGTGGAAAGCTCAGTATTGCATGGCTGTGAAGCGCTTGCTAGTGCGTCCCCAGGATGGCTTCAGGTGGCAAAGCAACTCAACCATGCCCACTATAGGTCTTTGAAATCAGTGCTGGCCATTGAGGGCGCTTCACTAGGTACAGGGGGCTACGCTCGGATTTTGATTGCCTTGGGTATTGATCTGCGGCTTTCCTCTAAGGTGGCGCTGCGCATTCCATCGGCGCGTGCTCGTCTCCTTAGTTTGCCACCGTCAAGTTTTGGCCCTAATATTTTGCAGGGAGCTAGCAAGGTTGTTGGCGCCACATGGATTGATGATTCCTTTGAACTTCTGCGGTTTTTTGAGATTCAGCCTGATTTTTCTGAATTTTGCCAACGTTTACCAGCTTCTGCTCCCTCTAAGTCTAGGGTGAGTTTGTGGGTCAGATCTGTTGTTCTCCCTGGCCTACTACAGTTTGACCGCCGCTGGCTACATACGCAGTTGCCGCACTTGTTTTCTTGGTTACACGATATGGGAAGTGAAAAAGCAGTTTTGGCATCCCTCTCGCATGCCCAATGGAGTAAACGTGAGTGGCTTTACACCAGGGCTTGGTACTTGGCAAGATTATCTGGTCGGCCAGGGTCATTTGCATTTGGAAAGACGCCTCCAGATGCGTGTCCGCATTGTGGAATGCCGCTAGATCTTGAACATTTTTTGCAGTGTGGATCACCTGTCGCCAGACCTGTTTCTATTTGGATGGAGCCTTCCTTGGATCTTTCTGTCCTTCGTGACAAAATTGTTTTTGTTGGTCGACGCACTGCTAAGCTGGCAATGGAACTATAAGACCTAGCGCCTTGAAAAGTCGCACTTGACCGCGCTTGCTTGGGCCATTCCCAATTCTGCTACCATGGCAATTTCCACAAACCCCTGTCTCTCAATTCACTGAGGTCCATCTGTTTGATATTTCTCCTCACCGTAACCTAGGTAACTTTTCCCTTGGCTTTAGGGGCTACACCGTGATGGGCTGACCTTTGTTTTTGGTTTCTTGATAGATGCTCTCCGCCGCTCTGGCCATCTCGATGGCGCAAGCGGGGGGAATGCTGAGGGGCATGCCGTTTGTGACTTGCCACCTCAGCCACCCGTTTAGGGTGTCAACATAACAGAGCCTAACAGAGAGCCCATTAAAAAAAAAGTGATTTTCCATAGTTATGTTAGTTTACCAGAGGGTAGATGGTTGGGAATGTTGAGTCTGGATGGCATATGGATGGTTTATGGATGGTTCATTCCTGATCTTTTCAAAAAACTCTTCTGTGTTTGGGCACGGCGGGAAGACCGTTCCTTTTCTCCTGGTCCCATCTCATGGAATAGTGATTGGTGAGTATTGGCGGTGGAACCCCCAAACAATAGCTACGTTGGTTTGTATCTCGGTGAACTATGGGTTAAGGTAGACATACCACTGATACATCTATAGGTTTTGGGGGTAATAGACTGATAAACAAAGTTTCCTCGCCAACTTCTCACTGAGGAGCACCACCTTGTAGATTTTCCGATGGGTTGCAGTATGCAATCCCTACCAGATGGTATAGCCCGACCACCCGACCAAGAGAATCCAAGAGATGGGTACAGTATGGGGATGCATATCTTCTTATTGGATGGATGGCCAAAACGCATACAAGAATCATGCTCTTATTGGGGAAAAAATCCGCAGTATATATAGTCAAAACATGCAGATACTAATACCGTGGCAAAACTGTGATCATGTCGATCATAACATGTGGGAATAAAAAACTGCAGTAAGTAGATTTATGCACCAAATATTTGACACATCATGGTATGAAGTAGCAGTTTGATGACTTATTATCCCTTTGCGGTTTTAGACACAGCCTGCCTATCAGTGAGGCTTGCCAATCCTTCCTGCCTTCCCTTGCTTGGTCCATGGTTCTCCTGGGTGTCTTCATGTCCATGGGTGCCCTGATCATGGGGAACCTGCTGCAAGTGTCCGGTCGCCCATTTTGCTGCTGGATTTTGGGACGTGATGGCAATGTTCAGACCTCGTCATTTGGATATACCATCTGATTATGACTAACATAGCCATGGAAAATCACCATTTTTTTATTGGTAAACCATCTATAAATGGGTCATGTCCCATGGCTATGTTAAACTACCAGAGGGTTGGTCAAAACTGTGAATTCCAAAATCCAAGACAGAGAGAGAGAGAGAGAGAAAAGAAAAGGAGAAAAGCACAATGCAAAACTGACCTGTAACTGACCCGTAACCTATGGTAACCTGTCTGTGGGTCCCTGGCTCTTGAGTTTGCCAGGTTTTATTTGGAGGCCTCCTATCCTCAAGAAGACCGAGAGTTGGTACCTTGGCACATTTTGTGGTGGGAAGCATTGCGCTATTCAAAACGTTGATGGCTTGATATGGCGAACGCACTATATATATATGCACTAAATACTTGTTTACTTAAGTTTGCCTGGGATTATCATAACCTAACTACGATATAGTGGGGATATGGACGACCAGATGCAAACCAGCACAATGGGAGCACAATGGGAGGGCATAGTGGTCTTGGCTCAATTACATGATGAACTGGTTGGTGATTTCGATTCAACAGAAATATTTCAAATACATCTTTATATTTTCATCGCGTTCCAAAGATATATTTGGGATTATGGTCCCTATATTGACCAGTGTGTTTCAGGGATGTTCCAACCGCTGCGCAGTATAGGCCTTGTTTGATGAAGCGGAGTTTGAGAGCAAAAACCTTATTCAGCTCACAAATCTCAGTGCACATCTCACCCACTCTTGCGAAACGAGTTATTACAAACACCAGTCTTGTAATTTCTGCCCCTGTTACCGTACCATTGTAGGCTGTGGAGTGTGGAGCGTGATATGTAGAGTGTAAACAGTGGATTGTAGAGTGTTGAGTGGGGAGTGTAGAGTGTTGAGCGGGGAGTGTAGAGTGTGAAATGGAGAGTGTAGAGTGTTGAGAGTCACGCCCGAGAGAGAGAGAGAGAGAGAGAGAGAACCCATAATTTATTTGTTTTTACTGTTGCTCAAGTTGTTCTCCTGGCGTTTCTCGATTCCGATTTTCTATTATGGCAAGGGGCTAAGCCAAGAACCCCAATCAATTTTTTAACTGTTGCTCATGCTGTTCCCCTGCGGTGTTTCTCATTCTGATGTTTGTGCTGTAGGACGTTTCACTTTTCAATCTGTGACTCGGTCACGCGGCACAAAGCCTTTCTGGAATTTCACGTCCCGATGTCATAGACTTGACAAGAAAGACAAACACTGTGGACCAATCAGGACTCCATACGACAATGAATTTTGTGAGCAGGGGGCCGATGGGCACTTGGGTGGCACGGGCCAGCGAAGGCCCATCCAAGTTGCTGTGAAAACGTGCCTGCTTAGTTGTGGTGTTCACAAGCTGTTCTACTCATTGATCAGACATGGCAAGGTGGCTAAGCTTAAAACCACCTTTGACGCCATTACATTCCAGGACATTACTACATTATCTACATGACCTCGTTTCATCTCATATCATCCTCTCCCTTCGGGTGGTGTTTCCAAGTGAGTGTGTGAGAAAGTGTGTGTGTGTGAGAGAAAGTGTGTGTGTGTGTGTGTGTGGAGGGTAACGGCTAGAGTTTGGAGTGTAGAGTGTGAAGTCTAGAGTGTGGAGTGTAAAGTGAAGTGTAGATTGTGCAGTGTGAAGTGTAGAGTTTGGAGTATTGCGCGTACATGTATAGAGTGTGTAGTGGAGCGTGGAGTCTAAAGTGAAGAGTGTGGAGTGTGGAGTCTAAAAGTGAGGAGTGCGGAGTGTGAAGTTTGAATTGTGGAGTGTGAAGAGCGGAGTGCATAGTGTTGAGTGTGGAGTGTAAAGTGTAGAGTGTGGAGTGTAGAGTGGGAAATTCCAGCGAACAGTCGGCAAAGCAACCTCGAGCGAACACACCTACACACCTCCAGACCCCCAAAGATAAAGGAAAAGCGTTTGCTACGAATTTGAGGAAAAATGCCGCGACCTGACGGCGACTTCATTGTGAATCGCGATTGATAGAAACTATGTAAGTAGGCCATTTTGTATGTTTTTTAATTAATTGCGAAGACGGGGATTTCATAAAGACAACCTGCAAAGGTTTCGGGAAGGCAATTTTGATTGATTTAGTGCCTATATTGGCTTCTTGAAATGCCGAAACATTTCTGCGGTAGCTTTGCATTTTGTTCCCCTGAGATCTGGAATTATTATGGCACCGCGTATCGGTCTTTCTGGACCCTCTACGAAATCACATTTGCAGGACGGGACGGAGCCGCCACGCATTTCATCGGAGAAGACATGTGATCATGTGTTCACTTTTGTTCACTTACAATGTCACGTTCTTTCTTCTTTTATTACAATGTCACGTTCCCTTCGAACACGGGAATCAATAGTTTGTTCCAAGTGATTACACTATATCTTTCAACATAAAGATGATAACCTCATTCAGAATTGGAATGGCGTAGATGTCTAAGTGTGGTGTTCCGTTAGGTAAAATGAATTGTTCATGGGTCCAACGCATGATTGTAGTTGCCCGCTTTAAAATTCAATTGAGCCAACTGAACCAACTATTCCAGACATACACCTAGTGCATTTGCTTACGGTGGACCTTGCCAGTACACAGATTGAAATGTTTATTGCACATTTGTTTGACATGGTCCCCAAATCATGTTCTATTTTTATGTCCTCCACTGATGTTGGTGGGCCACCTGTTTGTGAACACTTTCACCTTGGACCCAGATGAACGGCTCTCTCACGCTGCCAGAACGCCTTCTCGCTGGGGTGTGATGGAAGAACCCAACCACACAAACTTGATGGCCAAACTTGATATGACAAGTCTAGCAGTCCACCTGCCGAAAATGGCAGAGAAGTGGCATACCAACAGAATCCAACAGAAAAAAATCATAGTCTTAATCTTGTCGTTGGAATCCTTTGCTTCCAAATTGTTGCGGGGACCCGGCCCAACGCAAGAAATGGTAGGAAATTGGCCAACAAGGGCGCGGCCAGAACCACGGTTGCAAAATGATGTTGTTCGACACGTTACAGGCCTGTTTGAACCTCCAGTTTGCCTCTGGTTTTGCATGTGTTTTTGTTTGTTTCGAGATGACCTAAAGTTTTTTGACTCATTTTGGAATAGTTTGTATAGTTTAGAATTGCCATGTCAGTCTCAGCATCTCATGGTTACAAGTCGTTGAGTTGAGGCAGTTGAGGCCTCGAATTAATGCGAACCGAGGTCATGGAAAAGGTGAGTCAACTATTTGTCGTTTTTTTCTTTTGCTACGTGACCGTCATTGTTGCTGGGCCGAGAGCGATTTGGGGAACGTGTGGCTAAACAAATTGGGCACTTGTTGCGGCCATGAGTTGGGAAAATCAAAAAGAGTAAAGGCACCAGGTATTTGATGCAGTATGAGTAATATTTCTTTGAAACAGCTGATCAATGCTAAAAAGAAGATGGCCCAATGCATGCATTTCTGCACAGCACCAGGATTTTTACCACTTGTTTGAGGAAACACGTTTCTTGTACGGGTCAATCTTGGAACTGCCGCTATATGTCATTCATATGAGTTATGAGTACATGCGAACATTTTTCTCATAGAAATGCCCAAAAAAAGATTGGAGAGACAGCTGGGGGTTCAATTGAAGGCAGCAACTTTCAATAGCGATATATGTGCTGCTCCAAAGTACTTATTTGTTTGTGTATATTTGCACCTATATGTATACTTGTACTGTAGGCGAGACAACTCCACTCAAAGTAGATACATGTGAAGCCATGTAAAATCGCACGTTTCGACCATTTCCCACCTTGATGCACATCCAAGTGCGACCCAGTGCAAAACCACGCTTATTTTCTATATGCCTTCAATGGTGCCGCAAAACAATTGTTCACAAATGTTTTCACTTGTTTGTGGGTGGCAAAACGTGGCCGAGTTTGACCCCTGTCAGAAGTGATACGATGGGATGTCAGCTGCCTAGAGTACGATTTTTGTTGTTTCCGTGTGGTGTTGACAGGTTAGGATGTTGCTTTTTAGTGCTGGTTTAGTGGCGGCCCCCTGCCAGAATCTTCAAATCTGCAAGGCGGGGCTATAGATTTGCAGTAGGATTCTGGGTTTAGGATCATAGAACAGGTTATTTTCTTACTTGTCTCTTTCTTTCCTCGTCCTTTCCTGTCCTTGTCCTTGCTTCCTTTCATCTTCCTTTCCTCTCCCCCGCCTTTTTTTCTTCCATTGATTTTGTTTTCCTTTTCCTCAGATGGACGGATGAGAAGTGTGAAGAGATGGTGAGAAGAGACTGCAAAGGCAATGTACGTCAGAATTGAAGCAATCTGGCAGAGAGTGAGCATGCTTTGAGATTTTTTGCTAGCTCGGCGCTTGACGACTGCGCGCTAAGTTGGCGCCAGAGAATTGGTGAATTGTGATATGTTGTGTTTAGTTGTCCGTCTCACTCTGAATTATAGCTTGCTTTATTTTTGGACACGTTTGTCTAGTTATATAGCAGTTGAAAAAGACGCCACGCTATCAACGCTTTCCAAGTTGCGCACCTCGAGTCAAAAGGGATGCATGTTTTTTGGACCTGGGCACCCTTTTTTTGGACCTGTACATGTTTTTTGGACCTAACCGGATTTTTTTTTTGGACCTAGAGTCACAAAAAATGTGGGGAACTTGCTTGTGTGTTTTCTGGACCCTGTGGGGATATTTTTTTTGGACCTGCATGTGTTTGTGCTGGACCCACGGTTTTTTTATTTTCGACCGCCAAATTAATTGTTTCTGAGCTCGGTTTCTGTTTTTTGGACCCGTGCACCTGCTTCGTGGACCTTGCCTCCATAGGGTGGGGGGGAAACTCCATTCTTATAGGCTCTCACATTGGGCTGGATGTTTTTGGGCCTTGGCGCCTTCTTTTTTGGAACCCGTACACGTTTTTTTGGACCTGGCACGGGGTGCGGGGAATTTAGATACTGAGACAAGATGAATGCAAGAAGTTGTTGATGCCGGGGATGTTCCGGTATTGAAACAATAAAAACGTAAGAAGTGGTGGAGAGGCCATTGGGGGAAGCCTACGTATGAAGCGAAATGGATGCAGGAAATTGACGGGCACATAGGGGAAAGGGAAAGTTCGATATTGAAACAGGATGAGCGCAAAAAGTTGTTGAGAGATGAGGGGTGAAGCCTAGACATTGAAAGGAAATGAAGATACATGAAGATACATGCAAAAAAATGCTGAGAGACGCAGGGGCAAGAAGGTGTTGAGAGAAACGGGGGAACATGCAGATATTGAAGCCAGGTGACCGCAGAAAATTGGTGAGAAAGAGGCAGGTGAGAGAGGGGAAAGTTAGACATCGAAACAAGGATCAATGAACGCAAGAAGTTGCTGAGACGGGAAGCGGAAGTCTGGATATTGAACCCAAATGACGGTGCATGCAAGAAGCTGTGGAGAGACGAGGGGAAGCTGAGATATTGAAACCGCATGAATGCGGGAAGCTGTGGAGAGGCACAGGTGGGGGTGACTTTAGGAGGCCACGGTGGATATAAAACCAAATGAATGCAGGAAGTTGCTCAGGGGCACCGGGAATATTGAAGCAAGATGAATGCAGGAAGTTGTTGTGGGGCACCGAGCAGGAAGCTTAGATATTAAAACAAAATGAACGCAAAAAGTTATGGGGAGGCTGCGGGGGAAGTATAGATATTGAAACCCACTGAATGCAGGAAGTTTGGGAAGTTTGATGAGAGGCACAGGGGGGGAAGTTAGATATTGAAACCAGATGAGCGCAAGAAGTTGTTGAGAGACAAGGGGGGAGGTTAGACATTGAAACCAAGTTGAGATGCATGCAAAAAGTTGTTAAGAGGCCAGAGGTGAAGTCTTGAGACCAAGCGAATGAATGCAGGAAATTGGTGAGAGGCACAAGGAGGGGGGAAGTTTAGATATTGAAGCCAGGTGAATGCTCTCAAGTGGGGCACAGAGGTGTGAAGAGTAGAAATTGAGAAGAAGAGGGCAGAATGAGAAGGAGGTGGGAAACCCAATGTGTCACAAGGAGATGGGCGTTGCACTCCCTGGAGAGTACTGTATAGATATTGAAGCCCAATGAATGCAGGAAGTTAAAGAAGTTTGATGAGAAGCACAGGGGGGAAAGTTAGATATTGAAACCAGATGAGCGCAAGAACTTGTTGAGAGACAGGGGAGGCCGAGATATTGAAACCAAATGCATGCAGGAAGTTGCTGAGAGGCACAGGGGGCGCAGGATAACGGGGGGCAGAACTTGTGGAGAGGCCAACGGGGGGAAACTTACATATGTCATGAAACCAAATGGATGCAGGAAGTTGAAAGGCACATTGGGGGAAGAGAAGGTTAGATATTAGAACAAGATGAGCGCAATAAGTTGCTGAGAGTT